TCAAATCCCATCAACAGTGAAAATTTGAATAATCACCTATGTAATATTCATATTACGGCAACTGTTACTAATGATTAAGTTAGGATACCTGTAATGGCAGTCATACTAGCATGACTGGCAGATCATAGGGCATCTGTGTAAGTATAGCATTACACAGAGGAATGCAAACTAACAAATCAGGTAGTGCAAATACTAGATAAGTTCTTGTGGCTGTATAAATCTATTAAAATTAGATAACAAGAAGTCCATTTGGAAAAACCCAAGTAAAGAGGTAACTGGATCTTTGATGGCCCTACTGTAAAGGCTAGCTTGGAGAAATGGATACCAAGGTTGTAGTATCTGGTCGTAGTAGCCAGACAGGCAAGAACCTCTGAGTTGGAAAGCTCGAAAGTACTACCAACCAGGCCACTGAAACGAACTAGAGGAAAAGGATATCAGGTCGACCCAATATACTGATGGACTGATTGTAGTCCTATACAGGCTATTTGGATTGAAGATTTGGTAAAAAGACTGGACAAAAGACAGGAGTATACTAAAGTACTGGAGTTATGCTATAAAGTAGATGCTAGGGTCTAAGTGAACTCTACAAGGGCATAGCAGTTTAATGGTTAGCCCTGACCACAAGTGTTAGTTCTGCTATAGTAATATCTAGGTCAGCTGTAAAAATAGGTACAAAAGGCTCTAGGAGATTTACCTCAAGAATAAATTAGTCCTAAGATTGAGAATGATAATCTGGTACATCTGAGATGACCAGTGATATTAACACAGATTACAGGTTCAGAGGGTTTAAAGTGAAATACCTAAGCAGAAGTGTTAGATACAGCAATTGATAGGGAACCTTCGGGCGGACTCCTTAAATAGGTAATATAGAAAAGTTACATGTGTAGCCAATTGTACACTCTCCTGTAGTAGTTCATTGAACCACAATACTGATAAGTGATTAATAAAAGTCAAAAGATCAAAGAGGCCATCTTAATACCAAAAAAAAAAAAAAATTACTAATTTTTTATATAATAAACTAATTTAAATTAGTAATTTTCTTTTTATTATAACTTTTTTTTTATATAATAATCATAGTTAAAATTTTGCAGGTTTATGCATAAAGGTTACACAAAGGTACTTGTATAATAGCATGAAAAAATACTTAATTATAATTGGTTAATTTATAAATATATCAAAATTTTTTAAATTTTCAAATTTTTTTTAACAAATTGACTAACTTTAATCAATATGTAATCAAAAATTAATTTAATTATTTTTATAAATATATACTATATATTTTCAAATATTAAATATATTTATTTAATTGCAAATTAATATGTAAAATTTTGTGTAATTACATTTTAATTCAAATGTATTAAGTTGGTATATTATATATAATGAGATGACTAATAATAGGTTTTGAATGCACAACTTACTACTTAGAAGTTAACAACTTATCCAATTTACTAAGTCATTATACTTTTTATAATTAAAAATAAGATTTAAATATATTTATTAATATTAAAATTTTCTTTTTTATTAATAATTATTATTATATCTATTATAATAATAACAAAATTTTTTGGTTAACAATAACAATAACTAAATTACAAAAAAAATATTATAATAAGATATAAAAAAATAATTTTTTTTAGTTTTATATAAAATAAATTATTTATTAACAAAATCAAAATATAGACTATTAAAAAGTAAACATATTTTTAATAGTTTTTATTTTATATAAGTTATTTTTTAATAAATTTTTTAGTATATTTAGTATTTTTTTTATTAACCTTAATAAAAGAGTTCAAAACATATATAATGCTCAATTATTATTAATATCTGTATTGTAAATATCTATGCATATTTTTTTTAAATGAAAATTTTTTTAAGCTAAATTGTATTATTTTGATTTTTTTGTTTAAATAGCATTTAATTATACTTAAAATATTTGTTAAGATTTGATAATTCTTTTTTTTTTTTGATATTAAGGTGAGGCTTTGCTTATATCTTTATTAATAATTTAAAATAGTTACATATATATATGCTATGGCCAAGGCCAACACTTGCAGTTAGAGCTAATCATTAAACTGCTAACTATATAGCTACTACTATTTGTGATTTTTTTTTTTTTTGAAACTATAGACAGTCATACTAGTACTTTATTAAGATTCTTGCAATTGCTACAATTACATAGATCTATCTAACAACTAAGTCTAGCATCACCTGGCCACCCTAATGGCACCTAAGTGCAACCTGTCGTATTACTTCAAGCAGAAGTAAACTGCTCGTCTGACTACTTAAAGTCCATAATGAAAAGATCTTCTTCTTTTTATGACAAGCTCCAAAATGTCTTTCTAACTTCATTTTTGATTCATTTTTTTCTTTTTTTTAATTATCGAGCAAGAGGATTCTATAATTCTTGTCTAAAGAACAACAGAATACAAGAAAGAAAAACTAAAAGAAAAAAAAAAAAAAAGGGGGACTAACTACAAAACCTAAACGTAAACCAAAAGAAAAAAGAAAAATATAAAAAAGAAGAATAAAGAAAAAACAAAAACATGAAGGCACTATTTTTGCCTATGCTAGGCTTTAAAAATTTTGTATAATACTAAATAAAGAAAACTTCACAATTGCTTTATCTTTGTATTATAATATATTTCATTTATCACATAGGGAGAATGGTCGAAGTTTTTATTTTTCTCTTGAGTTTGACATATGTTGTCTATCATAGGTCCAATACTCATCTCATAGTTTTCTCATGACTAATGTTACCGATTTGGAAAGGTAAACAATGTCGATCCTTTAGAGGAGGTATGCCAGATTTCCTACTTTTTGATAAAAATTCCAAAAGAAAAATCCAGTAGTAAGGGCAGAAAGGAAAGCTAACTTGAAAAGGAGTTGTAAGAGTTATGCTGTATAAAATATTATATTAAACCAAGTAGCTATTTAAGCCTAAGCCCTTATAGCACTTGACAAAGCTCCAGAGCTTATCTACTACTTCTTTGCTTAGTAGTATTTGTGTTTTACCAAGAGACTTCACTTACAAGGGTTCAAATCTTTTTCAGCTCTTTTCAGTTACAACCAAGCATGCAGTGAATAGCCTTCCTAGTTATCCAAAGTAGAGTTTTGTTATATTTAAATATAATAACTATATAGTTTTCATAGGTCAGACTTTTGGAAAAAAGTTGGTGTAAGAAATCGTCAGAAAGAGTTTTGAGGGGTTTTTTTTTCTATTTGTGATTTGATAATTCTTTTTTTATTTTATTTTTGTATATTAATATGATATTTTGAAATAATAATTTATTGCTATAGTGATATATTACTAGTTTCTTATCATGTGATTGACATCATATATTATTATATAGTGATAAATGAAAACTTTCAATAAGAGAAAAACAGTAATATTTAACTGTTCATTTTGATACTTAGCAAATGCTTGATTATAAAAAAAGTTTAGCAACTTATTTTTCTAACTGTTTTATTGAAATGTTTAAAATTAATCAAGAAAAATATCAGAAAAATATCAAAAGTTTAAATTGTAAATTAATACTCTTTAAGTTTAATAAAGTATACATTTAAATCTTAAGATATGATAATCTTTATAGCAGATCTCTATGCACATCTGAAGTTTAAAAATATATTAGCTTATATTTATATTATAGTAAGGTTATTATTTGGAATAAACAGAAGAAGATATATACATTTGCACTAATTTAATTTATGAAGTATAAATTTTTTCAAAATATACAAATATGTTAATATAAGCAAAGCAAAAATTATTGCTTACAATACATATAATTTTTTTGCAAATATGAATGAAATCTAATTTTTTACTTGTAATTTACACTTATATTATTAAATGAATATTTCTAATTTACACTACAGGTGATAATCACCTATATATAAATATTACTATAATCAATACAAATTATATTATGTATAATATTTAGATTACTTATACAGTATAAACAAATATAACAAAATAAGAAATCATGTAACACATATAAAATATATACAATAATCATTATGTAATACATGTATAATTCAAATAAGCTACTATTACTATTACTCTTCAATTTATAGAATACCCTAGTCATGACAAAGAAAATTTAAAAAATGTTCTGATCATGTAATAATTAGTCAATAGTGAATGACATAATATTACACAATCAGGCATAACATTATATGATCAGGAAAAGTCAACAAAATGTTTATTTTGAAAAAAATTACTTTTTTTCAAAAATCAATATAAGAAACTACTTATTGTGCTCGAACAAAAAGTTTTTCTTACACAATTTTACTATAAATCTGCTAAAATCTAACCCTAACCCTAACCCAAACGAACTTCAAAAATTTTATTAATGTTACATGATCCAGGGAACAGAAGGAATTATTAATGTTACACAACTGATTTTTCACCCAGTGTGCAATATATAAAAAAATCATTTTACAATACCAGATCATTCTGCTAGTACATGTTATGTTTATAATCCCACACCATTTTATTATAGTAAAAATGGTGTAGGATTATAATCATAACATGTACTAGCAGAATGATCTGGTATTGTAAAATGATTTTTTTATATGTTGCACATTAGATGAAGAATCAGTTGTGTAACATCAACAGTTCCTCCTGTTTGGCTAGGGTACTGAATTGATATGTACTACATAGAATATGATACTTGAATATTTGTACATATATACAGATACACAAAACTAGTTATATAATAAAATCCTTAAAGCACATTACAATTAGTAGTATAAAATGATATCGATATGCAATTTAAAAACTAAACGAATATAAATGATCAAACAATATTCTATTGCAAATAAATTTTGAGTTTACTTAGCACAAGTTTGAATATTATGTCTATAATTTCTACAGTTAGCACATTTGTTTTTTTTTTTTCTTGCATATTATTATCATCTAAAACTATATTATTAGAATTGTGCAAATTTTAATGTGTATTAGTAATATTTTCTAATACACTCTTATATCATTTAGGAGGTCGTCTTCAGCATTTAGTCACAAATGGATTGCTAACAACAAGTTGAGATTCGACATTATCATCATTTTTGTTTTCCTTCAAAAGTTGTAATTCATGTGTTTTAGACAAAATAAATTCATCCATCATGTTAAAAAACTCGCTATCACAATTAAGTTGTATCATTAAGCTTAATGCCTTTTTTGCTATCCTATGACCCTTAGACCAACATTCTTTTTCACTAACAGTTTTTTGCAGAGCAGGAGTAAATATATTGGCAATACAAAAATGAGACAAATATCGAAAATCAATTATATTATTGATAGTTGCATGGTTAGTAGTTGCATGGTCAGTGATTGCATGGTCAGTAGTTGTATGATTAGTAATTGCATAGTCAGTAATTGCATAGTCAATGGTAGTATTGTTGGTGGTCACATGGTAAGTGCTGTTGAATACTGAAGTTTGATCAGTTTTACACAATATAATAAGAGGAATCGAAGAAATAAGATCTTTTTCTTCATTCATTTTACAATCCTTATACCAATAGCGTGGTATTAAAGAAATATAAAACCTAGCAAAACTTGATTTTAATAAAACTTTTACAAAATGATGACAAACAATTCCTTTGTTAATCAGGGTAAGGCAAGTGCATAGATGTGTACCATCCCTAAGTAATATAACATGATTTGTAAAATGATCAGGAAATAACCCCTGTGGTGTTATGATCTAAATCTGCATAACATCATCAAATTGCAAGATTTGTAGTAATACTTTAAGGCTTGTTTGATACTATTCATAATTGTCTTCAAGAAACCCATCTATAAAGTTTTCTGATTCTGAAGGAAACTTATCCCAATTACAAGAAATTTCAGTTGCATTATACAAAAAGCTTTCAGAAAGCTGTTGTCGTTAAAGAGAAAGAATATGCAATGTCAAATACTCTTGAATTAAGGAATCAATTGTAGCAAAATATCAGCCTGAAATATGTGATAAACCTATAGATAGATTTATATTTCTTTGTTCATTTATTCTTGCATATCTTGCCTCTTCATTAAGATGATTTTGTATAGAGTCAATTAGTTGTAACAATGTTGAACTATAAGAAACCTCTTTTTTGATAACTGCATTTATACTTTTTACTCATTGGGTACTTTGAATACCAGCAGTAAAACAAGTCTGTGTATAACATGTTGCCCAACTATAGTAAGTAAAATAAAGTGTTTCAAGTACATACCGAGATGCCTTAAGGAATGGATTAAAAAAATCAACAAAATGCATCCAATGACATTTAAAATCAACCTTGATCAAACTATTATGAGAACAATAAAAAAGCTTATGACACTCATTAAAATTTTTGCTCATAATAGACTTCAATTTTTTAACAAAATTGTTGTTTAGGTGAAAAATACAATAAGAGTGATGCATTTCAGGCCAAATATTTCTTAAAGCTGCATCCATAGCAGGATCAGCATCTGTGTAGATAGTCTTGGGAATAATATAATTTGTTGTGCTATTCAATTGCATCAAAACTCTAAAACATATAATGTTATAAACACTTGAATTATTTAAGTAAACCAATATCACTAATCCTAATGCACTATCTAACCCTAACTTAATCCAATCCATTGATATATCATTATACATATATGTATATCATATGCTTGTTTTTTTTTAAATTCTATATAACTTTTTTCTGACTGTACTACTATATATAACACAAATAAAAATAGTGAGATAATGATACAAAAAATAATAAATATATACTATTCAAAAGAGGTCTGAGTCTTATCTTCCAGTAATGCTTGTGCGACAATACATGAATATATATTATTATCTACAATTAAAAAGAGACACAATGGCATTTTATAATAATTTGTCTTGCATATATTGTCAGCTACTACAATATCATAATATTGGATCCATAATGAAACTTGTAATGGGGACATCCAGAAAAGTGCCATTAGTCTGTTCTCTTCATCTTCAATGTTAGGCATAACTACCCATTCACGGTCTTCTGCCTTTAAAGTTATTAAGTGTTGGAGAGTTTCTGCGGTGTCAGTCTTTAGTTTATTACATGATGGAATTTTAAACTGCTGAATAGCATTGTAAAGATCTTTCTTATCGATATATTTGTTTGGGTATTTTGCTTTCAGAAGGTTATACTGTATTTTTGCTCCTAAACCTTTCATAGAACATGTATAAAATTCTATATTCTCTAATATTTCCTTAAACAATTTATAAAAACATGATGCTGTTTGAACAATTATAAGATTTATTTCATGGTTATGCTTATCCAAGAATGAGGTGCAAACTATCTCAGCAACATCCTTATGGTTATTGAAATTTACATATCATAAGCAATTAATTGCTGCTGAATGTCATTCACACTGCTGAGTAATATCAATAGACTTTTTGGCTTTATGTATATATGCATGGAAATATTCATAGCTATGGCGGCGGATGCCTGAACGATCTGAATGACAATCATTCCTACTTCTACAAAAGGAAAAGCCTTTGTGCTTTTCATATGTTTCTATAAAGTTATCGATATCTTCCCATGCATCAAACGTTAGACCAATATATAATAGCATAGGATCTTCATGCAATTCTTCTTCATTGAATGCATTTTGTAAACTACTTTAAATTTAATTAATTTATTGCTTAACTAATCGCGAATATATAAATCAATAAGAAAATGTTCTAAATTACTCTTACTTTATTTCATTCTTCAAAATCTGATTATCATGATTTAGTGGTGGCTCATTTTCTGAACCAATAATTTGATGCTCTAATTGTGAATTGGTTGTAAAACTAAAAGCAAATAAAATAATAGTAATCGCTTCTATTAACTAATGCTAAAAACATTATAGTTTAATAAACTAAGTTATGAACCTAGAACATTGGTTTTGTATCAAATTAGAATTGCTCTTGGGTTCTATAATATGATTACTTAACAGCTATTAAGAAAAAAAAATCAGTTTAGTCATTTTACACATAGTACAACAGTTTCTCACTAACCTTTTAAAACTTGAGTTTGATGCTAAATTAAAATTAGTCTTGTGATTACTTGGTGAAATTAAAAATATAACCGATTAAAAGCCATTTTAACATATAGATATTATATTTTTCCACTAATCTTAAACTTTGACACTATGTTAAACTAAAGTTGAGCTCAATTTCTATGTCAAAATTGCTTAGTAACAATACAAGAAATAAATTAAAAATAGATATACTATAACGTATAAAGCTATTAGCTTTCTAACCTTTCGTGACTTGAATTCTGTAATAAACTAAAATCAGCCCCAAATTCTATAATAGAATTATTTAATGAAATTAAAAAAAAAACAGTTAGAAGTCATTTTAGCACATAACTGACAATTTTCTTACTAATCTTAAGAAACTTTGTGACAACTCAGGATTAATTCTAAATTCTATAGTGGTATTGCTAGTAATAATTAAAATCAAACCAGTTAGAAATCATTTTAACATACAGCAACTCAAAAGTTCTTCGCTAACCTTATAGAATTATGTGTAATAGGACTAAACAATGCCATCATGCTGTAATTCGGTTCAAAAGTATAATTTTTGCCCTGCACCAAACTTGAGTTAGCCCCAAGTTTTATGGCAAAATTGCTTAATAATAGTTAAAATCAAACCAATTAAAATCTTATTGACATGAAGCAATCAAAAGGTTTTACTACCTTATAGAATTTTGTGTCATAGTACTAAACAACTCTTCGTACTATAAATCGACTCAAAAATATGATTTTTATTATACTCGCTTTCTTTTTATCTTAATAGTTCTTTTATTAACAAATAATTATTTCTTGTATTACTAATTGGTCATGAATAAAGGTTGTGCAAATAAAAAGTGATTAAATTTTAAAACGTTGGAACAAGCAAACAAAAACTGCAATTTGTGTACTCATAAAAGAAAAATCATTCTTTAATCATGTGCATACTTAAATATACATTTACATATATGTACGAAAGTACATTGTTTATCTGATTTGTAATAATGCAATAATGCAATTGTTTTGTACATATATAATCTGAGTTTTAATTTCTGGTTGCACAATTCTAACTAACCCCTTATATAAAATTTTTAAATCAATAATAGGTGATTATCACATGTGGTAAATATTAGTTATTTTCTTATTAAATATAGCAGAATTTATATTCCAGTTTTTTGATCTAAAAATAATATAAGTATATTGCTTTGACAGTCTAATGCAATTTTTGTATAGTATTAATTGCAATCTTTATTATAATATAAATAATAATAAACTTTAAATATCTCTATACCTAATTCATTAAAATTAACACTATATAAAAAATCAAAAATATAAACAACTCTTCTTGATGATTACTTAGACACAAAATCAGTAAAAAAAAAAATCAAACTTTCTGTATAAACAGCAATAGGAAACACCCCAAACAACACTAATAGAAAAGTAATAGCAACAAAAAAAGCATCAAACAAGCTTAGAAGCAAAAGCACTACAAGTATTAGCAAGATAGTTATAGGAAAAAACAAGTTTTTCATAGAAATTTTAGCAAAAAGTAATAATTTTGGAGAATCACTAGTAACCTTATACATAGATCTGTTTGGATTATACAAACAACATGTATAGCCTAGGTAGACAAATATATGTGAAATATTAAATAGAATAGGATAAACAAGTCACTTATAAAACAAACAAACAAGATACAACTAGAACATATAATAGAACATCTGAGAAAATAAAGCTATAAAAATGAATAAAAATCTTCATAGAGAGTACAATGAAAGTTTATAAGCACTTTTTATAAAAAGAGCATACTGGGTCATAAATAGTATACACAACAAAATTTTTTTAATGAGACAAGTAGAACATACACAGTATCAGATAGAGAAGACAAAATTGTTGCAATGCTTACAAATCAAGACCCAAATAAAGTGGCTCTTTTACAACTAACAAGAGAAATATTAGTAAAAGCGGAGAAAGAACAGCCAGAGAAAAAACTAAATATAAATATAAAAAACCAAGACCTGACAATAGAAGCAGAAAGAAGACAAATACAGTATAACCAAAATCCAAAATAAAGAACAGCAAATAATAACAAAAAGAAATGAAGAAGAGAATATAAAAGAAAAATAAGAAAGGAAAAAAAACATAAAAAAGAAAATTAAAAATATAGAAAAACAAGAAGAAGCAAACATATTACAAAAAGAAAAATAGGTAGAGGTAAGTATGAAAATAAATAACAAACTGCTAGTTGAACTTTTTATCTAGAAACAAGAACCTAGAAAACAAAGAGAGATAAATGAACAAGAAGATATAGAAATGAATGACAAGCAATCAAGACAAAACATGTTAGAAGAAAAAAGAGAAAGACAAAAAAGAAGAAAACAAGAAACAGATGAAGAAATCAACATTATAGAAATAGCATTAGAACAAAGTATATAGGCACCAAGCAGAAGAAGTTGTAATTGAAACAACAGCTTAATTGCCAATATACCAGCATATGAGGTTCTTGGTAAAACAAAAGAAGAGCATATAAAGTTTATTAAGTGGTCTTTAAAGAATAATATACATGTAAAAAATATCAATGAAGTATTCAAGAGAGGAAATTTGTGGATAGAAGTGGTCTTTGACTATAATTATAACAGAGATAAAACTATATAAAGAATTAATAGAAAAAAGAGTGATTGGTACAAGATAATACTAGAAAACAAAGAAAAGAAAGAAGGAAAAAAAGAAAGACTCAAAGACTATAATAAAGAACAACAAGATAAAAGAAAACATATACCAAGTTTTAGAAAAAAGAAGATTAAAGAAAGTGCTAACAGAGAAAAACCAAATAATGATGAATATGAAAAAAAAGAAAGACCCATCAACAACATAATATATCTAACAATATAAGATTTATCAGCTAATATAAACAAAAGAGAAGTAGAGTATATTTGCAGAAGAATCAAAGATATAAAGATAATATGCATCAAAAGATTTAAGTACAAAGCTCTAGCAGTAATACAAACACAAAGCATAGAAGAAAAAGATATTCTATGATCATTGCCAGCAGACAATAATAAGTTGATAAGAGTAACAAAAGAAAGAGAAGACTACAAAGCAAAAGAAAAACAAAGAAAACACATAACCAAATTAACAAAACTATCTAGAAATGCCTTAGAAGTCTTATTACTACAATGCCTAAGAAGTAAAGAGGCAAAGTCAGTATATATTCCACCAAACCAAATGGAAACCAAAAAAGAACAGCATTAATTATATTCATAATAGAAAAAGACATGAAGGCAGTTCAATCAAAACCAATTATATACAACAATTTTCAAGTATACTGGGTTAATGAAAAGAAAAGAGAACTAAAAAGAAAAAAAAGGTTCAGAGATAAAAGAGAAAGAAGCTAGGATAGATTAAGTCAAATTTCTGATGCAGAAAAAGGTAAAAGTAGAGAAAAAAATTAATAGAACAGAACATATACAAATAGAAAGAATGATTAAAGAGATCTAAAATCAAAAGTTTAAATAATAAAAGAAGAAAGTAACAGTCTAAGACATAATATTAAAAACCAAAGAAGATATAGAAATATAGATAGTAAGAAAGAAGAAAGCTAAGAGAAGAGAGAAAATAAAGATAAGATAAAACAGCAAGAGAAGGACATATATATAGAAAATATGCTAGGCCAAATCTTAGAAATATTAGAAAAACTAGAGAAAGTAGGTGACTCAATAGGGGAAGGTATAGCCAATCACTTCTAAAGGCACCTTAGTTAAATTTATAAATATAGATGAGAAGATAGGTGAGTTCTTACTAGATAAAAGAAGAAGTTTCGAAAACAGAAAAAAAAAACACAACCTCATTCAAAAAAAGAAAGAAATAAGAGAAAAAAGGGAAAAAAAAAGAGAAGAACAGCAAAGATGGTACAAGAACAACTAAAAAAAAGATAAAAAGAAGGAAAAAAAGAGATTAAAATAGCATATTACAATTTTAATAGACTTAAAACCAAAAGGTGAAAACTTGATAGTCTGCTAAGCTAGGTAGAAGAAGAAGAAATCACAATACTAGGTATTATATAAACAAATCTTACAGAAAGAGAAGGAAGATTCTTAATGCAAATAGCAAATAGAAAATATGTAAGATTTTGGTCAAGTGTGGCAAAAGACAAAAAAAAAGATAGGATATAGGCATTATGATTAATGAACAATGAGAAAAACATGTGAGTGCAGTTAAAAAGATAAATGAATATATAATAGAGCTTATACTATACTTTAAGTAATTGGAGTTAATAGTTTTAGGAGTTTATATACCACCAAGTAACAAAGCAATAGAAAAAAGCATTCAACAAAAAATAGTAGAAATAGTTACCAAAAAGAAAAGACAAATACAATAGTAGTTCTAGGTGATTTCAATCATATAGTAAATAATGTATTAGATAGACAACATCTGCAAGCAGCAAACTTCAAAAGATTGCTGATTTTTAATTGAATGAAGAAGCAGAACTTTAGCAATAGTTACAGAGATATGTATCCAACAAGTCAAGAATTTACATGGTCAAGTGGAGAAGCAGCAACAAGAATTGATTATATATAAGTATCAGAGAAACTGGCCTCAGGCCTACAGAAGGTGGAAATTGAAAAGGCAGAGGAAATTACTGAAAGTGATTATAAAATAATAAAGACAAAAATATGAATTAAACATATGATAACAAGAAATAGAAAAGCCAAAATCAAAAGAAAAAAACAATCGAGAACAGTATATTTATATGACCAAGCAAAAGAAGAGAACTAAGAAAAGTATATACAAACAGTT